CTCGACACGGTGCTCCGAGCTGTCCCTCCTCGTTTCCTTCCTGTGCAGTAAACAGCTCGGACAGGTGGGAAACAATAAAGTCTCATTAGCACCTGCAGAACTGGTAAGGGAACAAATCCCCAGTCCAAATTGGATCACTGTAGAAATCCACTGATTAGCACCCTCCAAGTGCGCCAGATAATACGAAGACATGTGATAAGCTACTGCTCTCCTGAACGGAGAACTTTGTCCCCTGCTGCTTTCTGTGACTACAAATTCCTCTGATTTGCAAGCACTCCCTTGCAGTACATCTATACAATCAACTAAAAATAGAGGCTTCTTCTGCACCTTTGTAGTTCAGGCTGTTCTGTGTAGCCCTACTGGATTTCTTTAAATAGTTTCTCAAGATAATGCACAATGTTTATTGCTGGAAAATATGAGTGAAGTTTATATATGTATATGTATTAAGAAAAAATACTTAAAGGGACTCATATTTTTTGATGTCTGAGGAAATACCACTGTTCTGTATGAAAGTTTTGCCAGGCAGAACAGGAAGAACAGCCCAATAAAGGGGAAATCTAAAAACCTGTATTTCACTTCTATTACATTGTGAAAGTAAAATATCTTTTAAAAGCAGAACTGTGATCTGTTAGTTGAGCTTGACATAAGCTAAGCCACTGTAAAGCACAAGTTGTTCTTTTTCATCTGGGTACTTCGTCAGGATATGGAGAACAGCTTCTTTATGAATGTGAACGATCAAGTGAGGGAGGTTTGCAGCCAGCTCGCAGGGGACCCTCACCTGAAAGGAGGCTACAACGCAATGGGCTTCTCCCAAGGAGGACAGTTCTTGTGAGTTTACCCTTCTGTTACATTCCCAGTGACTTTGTTTGGAGGGGTTGGGTTCTGATGCTTAAAACTCTCTAGCACCGAGCAGATGTAAAAATATTTAAGCCCTTTCACAAAGGTAAGACATGCCAAGGGAGGCAAGAAGAGAGAAGCAGCGTGCGGTTTCCTGAGCTCCTGAACCCTCCGTTCCCAGGAGGGCTCAGCTCTCTCTGCAGAGGTTACCCGGTGCCTTAGCCCATGCAGCAGCAGCGTTCACGACCTGGGTGAGCTGACTCGGCTCCTTTGGCTTTCCCCACAGGAGGGCGGTGGCTCAGAGATGTCCTTCTCCACCCATGTTCAATCTGATCTCCGTTGGCGGGCAGCATCAAGGTAGCGTGCTCCTAGGCTGGCACAACCACTAACCGTGGTGCAGGGCTCTTGGCAGCAGGATTGAATACCTTGGCCTCTTCCTGAAATCTGATTTGGCTTGTGAGTTGAACCATCTGAAGCTGGTGATCTGCTTCAGCTCAGAGAGCTGAATTATCTTCTAGTCTTGCTCAACTGGCAGGGCATAGGCACTTTTGTAAGCAGATAACTTTCTGTGCAGGCAGAATTCTTATAAACCTTGAAAGCAGCTTGGAGGAGTTGTTTCTGGAGAGGAGATTCTGACTACCTCCTAGATCAGAGGGATATTTTTCAGTGAGCACCTGGAAAGCTAAAACCCCAAGGAAAGGGAGGTGCTTTTTGCAGCAGATTAAAGAGGCAGTATGTAATGTAATTCAGGAGCTGTACAGTTAAGGATCTGGGAGAATGCCTGGCAGTAAATTTCAAATACTCTCCCCCTGGGAAGTTCCACAGCTTGCATCTATTTCTTTGTCAAGTGTTGGGGAAGAGTGTTAGGAAATCTCCTGGAAGCTCCTGGGAGCAGACTCCTGGGTGAGCTGGTCCTGTTTGCCATAGTAATGTGGCTTGCTGGGCAAGAACACCAGCCATTGCCTGTGTGTATAATAATGCCCAGGGGCAGGAGCGCTGTCTAATGGGATTGCAGGATTAAACATCTCCTGACTGCCTGAGTAATTCCTGCCACTGTTCTGTAAGAGGGTGGTTCTTTAGCAGATGGAGAGATTAAGTAGATTGGCTTACCGAGCTGTTACACATCTCTGTGCCTCAGGAGTCTACGGCTTTCCACGCTGTCCCGGGGAGAGCTCCCATATCTGCGACTGGATCCGGAAGACGCTGGATCTGGGTGCATACACACCAGCCGTGCAGGAGCAGTGAGTATTTTCATCAGGCTGCAAAAGTGGGGCCAGACCTGTGTGGGAAGCTTCAGGTTTCCAGTCTGATCTTTGGTTTCTCTCCAGCTTGGTACAAGCAGAGTATTGGCACAACCCTTTGAAGGAGGAAGACTACAGGAAAAATAGCATCTTTTTGGCTGACATAAATCAGGAGAGGGTAAGGACCTGACTAATGTAGAAGTGCTGGCAGTAGAGCATAAGGCTGAGCAGCGAGTTCCTTCATGGTAGTAATTCTTGGCTAGGATCAAGCATTTGCACTGCTAGTCTCACCAGTGAGACTTGTCCCACATTAGAGCAGTTTCTGTGACACCAGGCTGTGATCTGAGTAGAGATAAACCCAGCGCTCAGTCCACACCCAGCCTTCCTGCGGGGCAAATCCTCTCCCTCCTGAACAGGAGAGTGAGCAGTTAAGAGCTGAGTTTCTTGCACCCTCTTGGTGCAGGCTCCCAAGGTGTCAATCTGTTTCTCTGCACTTTCACCCAGGGCATCAATGAGACGTACAAGAAAAACCTGATGGCTCTAAAGAAGTTTGTGATGGTTAAATTTCTCAACGATACCATGGTCGACCCTCCAATCTCTGAGGTGAGGCAAGCAGGGTGGATGCTGCCTTTGTCTGGGATCCTGTTTATTCCTTTGCTCATTTTTGGTTTCTCCTTTGATGGCAGAAACAACTACTTTGCTGAGGAGTAGTGCGAGAGCACGTGTAAGCCTGATAGTGCAGTGTCTGAAGGAGCCTTCAGCACCTCTTTCCTTGTTTTTGACAGTGGTTTGGGTTTTACAAAAGTGGCCAAGCCAAGGAGACCGTTCCACTGAAGGAGACAGCACTGTACACAGAGGTACGTTCTCCTGGGCACTGGGGTGTTCTGCTGTTTCACTCCAGAGAGGGTAATGGGGTAAGTTGGGGACTTTAGGAGCTCCAATGCCAGCAGCTCTGCTCGAGTCGCAGCTCTGCTGTTCCTGCACCATGGACAGCCTTGCCCGGAGCCTGGGGGAGCTACGGTCACAGTTCTCTCTCTTCAGGATCGCCTGGGGCTGCAGGAAATGGACAAAGCAGGAAAGCTGGTGTTCCTGGGAGTCAAAGGGGACCACCTGCACTTCACAGAAGAGTGGTTTTACACCACTCTCCTCCCCTTCCTCCACTGAAGGCAAGAGAAAGGCTCGTGCGAGAGCCCCGGGGAGGCTCTGGCGCTCTAGTTAATGCAGCTGCTGCTGTTCAATTGCACTTCTTGTGTACAAGCCTGGGGGGAAGCAGCGGGAGGGGGGGCTTTAGCTCAGCGGGTCCACAGTGTGCGGAGGTGGCAGCCCTGTTACCCTGCAGCGGGTGACGGGGATTCCTTGGGCTGTAATTAAACTAACTCTGAAGCACTCTGAGCCTTGGCAGCCCTGGGGAAGGCTACCTGGGTGAGCTCGTCAGCTGCAACTGTTCCAGGCACTTGATCAGGGCAAAATGGGGCTGGGTGAGGGGTTTAACAATCAATTCACAACCCATGATGCCTGTTCTTCATGGGAAGCCATGGCACTATTAACCAACATCACTAGTTCAGGGATGCTGCACTGCTGGAGGAGATCAGCAGCCTCCCATGACTGGATGCAGAGGAAAGAAAGATTACAGTCTCTACTTCAAGGCAGGGAAAAAGGGCCAAAGTTAGTTGATTCTAGGGGAAAAGGAAGGTTTTGCGTTAAGGGGGTATTAACATTGTTAACAGTGTTCAACTAAAGGCTTGTTTTATGCACTTTCGTACAGCAATTAACATTAATAAAAACTTTACAACTAAAGGGGTGAGATTTGACAATTACTTACACGTTGATTAACAGAAGGAAAGAGTCTGTACCTCCCCTTCAGTCTTGCTGCATGGGACAAGCACTTTCCAAAGCAATCTCAGTGGAGCTAAACAGCAAGGAGCATTTTGTGCTGCCTGAGGTTCTGGCTGTCTTCACACAGAGTAAACAAGAGCCATGGTAATGAGCAAGTTGGCATTAACTTTATTCTAATCTTCTGTATAATCTTAAGTACATAAGAAAGGTTTTTTCCACAAGCCTCAGGAGAAGACAAGTACAAGTCACAGGACAGTCTCCAATTAAAAAAAAAATTGCATATTTTTAATAATTTTTGTCCTAGAGAAAGAGAACATTGACACTTTACAGAGGAAATGCCTTTAAGATATGCTTATGCCACCTGAGGCATTGGAAACATGGAGGTGAGAGCACGTGCAGCGCCCCGTACGGGTCAGTACAGTACTGTGGCCTTGATCCATTGCTCTGCTCCAGGGCCCTGGAACAGCCAACAAACCTCCAGGAAAGGAAAGAGCCAAGCAACAGGGGAAAGGGCAGGCTGAGCAGTTTCACTCTATGGTGACCCAAGGCCAAGGAGAGAGTGATGAACCAACTCAATCCAGCTCAGGTGTTTTCTACCCTGCACTTACTGACCCTGGAATGAAGGAGACCCTTCCTCTGCAGAAGGGGACAGGTTCAGGAGAACCGTCCTGGAAGACTGAACCTGTGTTCAGCTGCTCCAAGAAGGAAGCCCTGGGGCAAAGATTCCCTTTAGAGGGTGAAGGGCTCATGGAAAGAGGTGCTCAGCTCCAAGCTACCAGCCGCACTGCTGGGGAAGGGTTACTGCAGTCACTCCACTGCAGTCTTACTGTGGCACCAGTTAATGGAAAGCCTCCTGTCATGGCACAAATCAGAAATACACTGGAGCTAGTAGGAATGATGAAAAGGAAGTCGGTGTGGAATGCTACAGCCCAAGTCCTCAGCCTTTGGTCCAACAAAACCGTTCCCACATCCTGTAATGCCATTGATTAACACACACAGCTGGACCTGGCAGCTTCCAGGAGGTCCTCAAGACATCTGCCATAGCAACCAAGTATTCTGGACCCAAAAAACACCATTATCTGTTGACTCAAAGAAGGGGACAATATTCCTCTTTCACATGAACAGTTTGCTTAAAGGCAATACAAAAAAAAAAGAAAAAACCCTAAACAACACTCTGAAAGCCAACTGCCAATACTGGCTGTGAAGTTCACCCCAAATCTGACATGATCAATTGGTGCAGTTAGATTGGACAAGGGGAGAAAAAATACACCTTCCTGCTAGTAGATGTGGACGACGACTGACCCGCCACCAACACCAAATCCCAGCCAGAGGTATTTCAGTGACGGCAGGTAGCTGTGTCTCTTGGGTAGAAGAGAAGCAGTTTGAGAGCAGAAAGGTACAGGAAATCTAAGAGAATCATCTGAAAGCAGATTTGTCCCACAGCAGGGCCAGGGAAGGGCACGAGCCTTGGAGCTTGTCTGCTTAGCCAGCAATTTCTGTCACAGTGGTAACCAACTTCTGGCCGTTCCACACTGTCTTGAACTGTTCTGGGACAGGCAATTCAGTCTGGAGGGAAAAAGAGAAATCCATCATCAAAAATCTGTTTATGACTGAGACAAGTAACTATTCCCACTGCTTTAGGCACTTTTGTTTTCTTAGATGTGTACTATGTCCCCTCCTGTACCCCTGCCTGTTCTGTCCTCTGGAGAAGAAACAGAACAGAGCAAGTATCTCACTGCAAAGAAACTGATTTGCTGGTTTTAGCAGACCCTGATGGATCCTTCCTTCAGCACATCCTTTTCCCTCCAAGACGTCCTGGAAAAGCTTTCACTTGGACTGAAACACAGTCTAGTACTACAAATTTTTGCCTCTCAAGGAAACCCGTCCTGCTTCACTCCAGCCCTCCTCACCCATTTCAAAACGAACACTTACAAAGTCACCCCCCTCCGTGGGAATAAGGACATTCATCTCCGAGGACTTGGCACTGACGATTTCGCAGTCTAGGGAGCTCTTGCTCAGATAAACATGGCAACCGTCTGTCTTGTTGATGGAAATCGTTGGCACTTTCCCCATTACCTGGCAGATCGGTCAAAGCAGAAGGTACAAGAGCATAATCTCAAACTGGACAGTCACACAAGGCAACAGGTTTGCTTGGCTTGTTCACTGCACAGCCAGCAAGTTACACTCACCTGAACTTTAACGTCCCTGCTGTTTATGATCTCCACAATGCCCACCACATCATCAAACACCAAACCTAGCTTCTTACAGTTATCTGCAAGGGGAAGACAGTAACTCACCAAAGGGTTTTGCAGATTCAGCCTTCTGCAGGCAGATCACAGAGAAACACTTTTGAGCGTCACTTACCGATGGTGATGGAGTTGATCTTGCCTTTGACTTGAAGTGTACTATTTGTGCACTTAAAAACATAAGCTACTTGCTTCAACTCTGTGTCGCTGATCACCAGGTTAGTGGCATTCTCATGGTTTTCCTAAAAAGGCCAGGAAAAGGCACTTTATTTTTTGGAGGGGAAAACAATTAATTTATACTGAGAGCTGGGCAGTGGACACCATTTAAAAGCGAACTGCATGTTCCTTCAAGCTTGTGCCTCTTACAAGAAAGGTGTTAAGGAAAAGCAAAGATCCCATCCCTCCAACACGCTTATGCTGATATCAAGTACTCACCACTCTCCACTTTTTGCCCTCTAGCTCTAGCAATGGAGGTTCCTTCTTTGGAGAGGTTTTTGTGGTGGGGTTACCACTACATGCTGGTTTGGGAGCAGTGAAAGGCTTGGGTCCACTTCGCACAGGACCCCCCTGGTTCTTCAGCGCTGGATTTTTGTGGGTCTTCATGTCATCTGAAACATGTCTCAAGCCTGCAAAAGAAAGCCAGCCTGAGTGCCAGCCCTCCTCACACCGCAGTTTCACTGACACCACAGATCAGTGACCAGCATTATAATGTTTTTCAGAATAGGAGCCACTTCTTGAGGCTGGGCTTCAGTCAAGCCCAAGCCTGAGCAATAGCTACTAAAAAAGATTCAACCAGAAGCGCTGTTTCAATGTTGATGAAAACAAAAGGTCTTGAGGAATCAGGAGGCCCCAGCTGTTCCACTCTCCCGTTGGAGAAAGCCTTGAGTAAGCACCTCGCTTCTGCTCCCCATCCTTCCTTGTGCGCTGACCAGGCAGCACGTGAAAGCAGATACAGAGGGGTAAAACCCAGCACCTTTAGTATGTGGGATGTGTGTGCAACTGAAGCCCTCAGCCCAGCGAGGCTGTGCAGGGCCTCTGCACTCTCCCTCTGCACTCGTGAGTCACCCCAGGGCTGTCCCTGCCTCCCAGCCTCGTGCTCCAGACCAGATGCTCTTTGGTTACGGCCAGCGGATGTTC